CTCTGAGTTCGAGGCCAGCCTGGTCTATAGAGTGAGTTCTAGGATAGTCAGGGATACACAGACAAACTCTGTCTTGAAAAACAAAACAAAACAAGACAAAACAAACAACCCCCTCCCACCCTCCCAAACTTGAAGACATAGAAGACAGCAACTGAACAAGATAACAGATGATGAAAAAGTCTCCTGTGCTCACGGATCAGTAGGATTAATACAGTGAAAATAGCCATCCTACCAAAAGCAATCTACAGGTTCAACACAATCCACATCAAAATTCCAACACAATTTTTAACAGAAATTGAAAAACAAAAAAACCTCACAATTTTAAGCTTCTTATGAAAGTGCAAAAAAACCCAGGATAGCTAAAATAATCTCAAATGATAAAAGAACTGTGGGAAGTATTATCATCCTAGATTTCAAGTTGTACTAGGGCGATATAGTGATAAACATAGCATGATATTGGCATGAAAACAGACATGTTGATCAATGGAATCAAACTGAAGACCCAGGCATAGTTCACATACCTCTGAACACCTGATTTTTGGCAAAGAAGCTAAAAATACACACTGGAGAAAAGAGAGCATTTTCAACAAATGGTGGTCAAACTGGATGGCTGCATGTAGAAGAATCCATGTAGATCCATACTTATGACTGCAAAAAACTCAACTCCAGATGGATCAAATACCTCAACATAAAACCAGATACCTTGAATCTGACAGAAGAGAAAGTGGGGAATAGGCTTGAATTCATTGGCACAAGAAAAGGTTTTCATTATCATAGGCACTACACAACAATCAATAAATAAGACCCCATAAAACTGAAAAGCTTCTATATGGCAAAGGACATCATGATTTGGACAAAGTGGCAGGCTATAGAATGGGAAAGAGCTTTACCAATTACACATTCAATAGAGTACTAAAGTATATAAAGAACTACAAAAAGTGGACATCAAGAAAACAAATAAAAATGGGTTCCGGACTAAGCAGAGAGCATTCAAAAGATGAACCACCAATGTCTGAGAAACATCTTAAGAAATGGTCAATGGGGCCAGGCAATGGTGGCACATGCTTTTAATCCCAGCACTTTGGAGGCAGAGGCAGGTGGATCTCTGTGAGTTTGCGGTCAGCATGGTCTACAGACTGAATTCCAGGACAGCTAAGGCTACACAGAGTAACCTTGTCTCAAAAAGAAAGAAAGGGAGGAAGGAAGGAAGAAAGAAAGGAAAGAAGAAAGGGTCAGTATCTTTTGTCACCAGGGAAATGCAAATCAAAACACTTTGAGATTTCATTTTACACCAGTCAGAATGTCCAAGATCAATGAAATAAATGATAGCTCATTGCTGGTGAGGATATAGAGAAAGGGAAATATTCATACATTGCTGATGGGAGTGTAAACTCAGACAGCCAGTATGGAAATCAGTATGGCAGTTTATCAGAAAGCTGGGTGGGAATAGATCTATTTCAAGATCAGCTATACTGTCCTTGGGCATATACAGCAAGGACCTTACGACATGCTTATTGCTTCTCTATTCATAATAGTCAGAAATTAGAAACAGCCTAGTTGTCCATGAATGAACAATGAAAATGTAGTAATTTAAATAATGGAACATTACTCAGCTGTTAAAAAGGAAATTATGAAATTTGCAAGTAAATGGATGGAACTAGAAAAATAATTCATCCCAAGTAAGGCAACCCAGGCCCCAAAAGGAAAATATTGCATGTTTTCTCTTATATGTGGATGCTAGTTTTTAAGCCTATGAGGTGCATGCTACAATCTACGTAACCACAGAGGTTAGGTATCAAGTACAGGACTGGGGAAGAGAAGGATCTTCCAAGGAGGATAAATAGAATATATAGTTATGGAGAAACAGGGATGAGACTGGAGTGGTAGGATTAAAAGGGAAGGGGATGGAAGAGAGGAATAAAGAATGGGGTATGTGGAGGGACAACTAACTCTAAGTGCCATTTGAGGGGCATATGGGAACATAAGATTGTAGAAGCTTACACACACACACACACACACACACACACACACACACACACAAAGCTTTCATATATAAATGAAAGAAGTCTAAATGGAGTCAACAAATAACAGGGGAGAGAAAGCCTCAACTAGACATCTTTCACCACCAAGTGAAACATCAAGTTCTAGGAATGGCCAATGAGTCTTTGGCCAAAGAGGACCCATGGATGCCCATAAACATCTCCAACTATTGCCAAGGCTATTGGCTGCTTTCTGTAAACTATTGGTAAGGCCCTATTGCTGAGGACAACACTTATTGTCTTAGTTAGGGTTTGCATTATGTGAAGAGATACCAAGACCCAGCAACTCTTATAAAGGAAACATTTAATTGGGCTGGCTAACAGTTCAGAGGTTTAGTCCATTATTGTCATGGTGGGAAGCATGGCAGCATGTTGGCAGACACAATGATGGAGAGGTAGCTGAGAGTTCTACATCCAGATCAGCAAGCAGCAGGAAGAGAGACTGCTACTGGACCTGGCTTGGGCTTTTGAAACCCCAAAGCCCACCCTCCCCCCAGTGATGTACTTCCTCCAACAAGGTCACATTTTCTAATGGTGCTACTCCTTATGAGCCTATGGCAACATTTTCATTCAAACCACCACATTTATATAGCTCACTGAACACAGAGAAGTCAAGTTAGTGTCTAACTAAAGGCTTCACCCCCACTGACTAATGTTCACAGTACTAGAAGGTACCAGAGGAGAGAGGTAACCATTAACCCAGCCACAAACCCTGTGATATACAACGATGACCTGACTGCAAGGAATGCTGGTGCACTAGTGGCACAATGTTGTAGGAGTAACCAGCCACTTTCTTATTGGAGTTAAGGTCCATCCACGAGATGAAATCCATGTCTGACACTATTCAGGTGGCTAAGAACCTGAGACTAGATAGGCCATTGGCCTAGGAGAAAACCAAATGCTATTGTTTTGCTAAAAGAACATAGCAAAAACATGGTTACTAATGATCTTTTGCTGTACCTATAGATCAGTGCCTTGTTCAGTCATCATCAGAGAAGATTCCACTTGTAGTAGATGGGAACCAACAAGGAGACCCACAACTGGACAATGAGAAGAGAGTAAGAGATTTTGGAACACTCAGTCCTAAAAGGG